AACCATTTTGCCTTCTTGGTTTTCTTTTTCTTTGGGACGTACTTTGTTGCCGCCTCCTGAACAATGTCTCGGACTTCTGTCCATAGTTCTTCTGGGACTCTGTTTACTAAATCTAGTCCTTCAAATCTGTTCTTCACTTCCACTGTATATTCGCTAGGAATGTTAGTGAGATCATATCTAACTGGTCTGTGTACTTTCCCTGATCTCTTTAGTTTTATTCTAAATTGAGCAATAAGAAGTTTGTGATCTGAGCTACAGTCAGCCCCAGGTCTTGTTTTCACCGACTGGATGGATGTCCGCCACCTTTGGCTGCAAAGGATGTAGTCAATCTGATTTCGGTGTTGACCGTCTGGTGAGGTCCATGTGTAAAGCCGTCTTTTAGGTTGTTGGAAGAGAGTATTCGTTATACACAGCGAGTTTTCCTGGCAAAATTCTATCAGCCTGCGTCCCGCTTCATTTTGTTCTCCCAGACCATGCTTGCCTGTGATCCCTGTCATTTGACTTCCCACCTTGGCATTCCAGTCTCCTGTAATGAAAACAATGTCTCTTTTTGGTGTATTATCCAGTAGGTCCTGCAGATCCTCATAGAACTGATCTACTTCTGCTTCTTCAGCAGCTTTGGTTGGGGCGTATATTTGGATCACTGTAATGTTGAAAGGCTTTCCTTGCACTCGAATTGAGATCATTCTGTCATTTTTTGGGTTGTCTTGACAATATTTGAGTTTAAAAGGCCAGTAGCTGGTTGAAACTAGGGCAAGGTCAGTATTGAAATTGACTGGACATCAGCAGAGATAAAAGCAGATGCATTCCTGTGGCTGAAACCAACAACATTAGCCCAGCATGACTGTGGTTTCATGAAAAGCAAACAAAACAACAGGGAGTGGCCACATGCGAGAAATGAGCCAGAGATTGTGACTGTGAAATCGCACTATCAACAACCAGCCATTCTACCTCAGTTGAGCAGAGCCTATGGATTTATCTGTTATGTACCTACCTATGCATGGGATAGTCAGGTATAACTGGTGCCAATGGAGTAGTGAACTTTAATGAGTAGGTGAATGTGTAGAATCCTACCTCAATACAGGTTCAGCACTATGGATATTTCCTCTAAAGTTCAGGCCAAAGTTCAGAGTAGTTTCACGATGGAATAATGACCTGAAAGCCACCACCCTCCACTGAAGGTTGGATACTTTGCAGAGCTGAATAGCCTGGCTTCTTGATATATTGAGAAAGGTGGCACATCATGCATGTATCTAAGTGAAATATACCACTGCTGTCTCTTTGGCAGTGTCATACTAGAACCCACACACAAAAGGAAGTAAAACAATTCCTTAGGAACTCCAGATCCAGCTCAAATTCCTGCCAGTAGCAGGTAAACACGCACAAACATTCTGAGCTGGAACAGGTTTTGGCTTGTTGACATCTAAGCTGAATGTGTGAGAATGAGAGGGAGAAGCATGACTTTGCATTTGGGCCCTTTCCATGTTCCCTCCGAACAGCACCTCTGCTATCCTTGTATAATAGTAAAGCTGGGCATGGGTCCAACTGACATCACGTGAGAAGCCACAATCTTAGATGTAATCTCAGAGTTAAAGAAGAGTCTCTGGAGATTCAATACACTAGGGATTTATCTTAATCCCATTAGTTCCACCTACAAAATTAAGTGCCCCTTTGAGTCTTCTTTGGCAGTGACGATTTAGAGATACAGCTAATGACTTCATCACACTGAAAGGGGAAAGAATGGTTGACCATCCTGCAGTCCCATTATCCTAAACCAAGAGATCCCTTGCCCTACCCAAAGCTCCTTGCATTTAAGGAGACTGATGCCAGTTTAAAACCTCTTCTTCCCATGGGAAAAATTGTTCTGCCCCAGAAGATACAAGAGACAGTGATTCAGTTTAAAACCATTGCTTTCCATGGGATCCTCTTGATCTGCATGGAACCCCAGAGGGTACAAGAGACAGTGATCCAGGTTAAAACCATTGCTTTCCATGGGATCCTATTGATCTGCATGGAACCCCAGAGGATACAAAAGGCAGTGATCCAGGGCAAAACCGTTGCTTTCCATGGGATCCTATTAATCTGCATTAAACCCCAGAGGATACAAGAGGCAGTGTCCCAGATTAAAACCATTGCTTTCCATAAGATCCTATTGATCTGCATGGAACGCCAGAGGATACAAGAGTGTGCTGTCATTTGGGCAATGAAACAGGACAGGAAACTTTGATGGTTTCCATCACACCTGTTTTTCAGTTGTAAAGATGTATGTATGTATGTATGTATGTATGTATGTATGTATTTACTCCATTTCTACCCCGCCTTTCTCAACCTGAGAGGAGACTCAAGGCAGCTTATAATAAATCCGGCAAAAATTCAATGCCACACAGGTAAACAAACACATCTCATAAAAATATAAACAGTCTAAGGATATAAGTAATTAAAACTCATACCAATCTATCGATTAAATTAAAAACCACATATAAAATGCTAAGTCATGATCTCATGTCCAAATCATAGAATCATAGAATCAAAGAGTTGGAAGAGACCTCATGGGCCATCCAGTCCAACCCCCTGCCA